GTATAGGGAACTTAGTTAACTGACTGTTCGGACAGTTGATGGCTACTCTTCGCTCCCAGTTGGTCATGTAACTCCGCCTCCTCGCACGATGCCTGCTCCATCTCTATTGTTTGTACCCGACAGCGGCCCACTGTGACAACAAATCCCTTAATGCTTTGTGAGAAGAGTTCTCTGAATGTATTCTGGGATATATCTGGTTGACAAGTGAGCAAGGAGGACCACTACTGTTCAAGGTACATTGAGGAAAATTTTGAGTCCACTACTTTTTCATCCACTAGACATTCGGACACTCATCTAAAATGGCGTTATCACTATATAGTGCCCTATATAGTGATTAGGGCAGATGTTCTGACAGCCCAAGACTGATATGACCAGCCAGAAATCCAGCACAGCTGCTGAATCTAAATCCTGCAGAAAAAAAAAAATAGTAAAAACAAAAAAGAACAGAAAATAAGAAATCACCTGGAAAAATCTGGTGAGAATGTAAGAGGAAGAACAGGCAAAGGAGTCTCCTTTGTTTTGGAAGGTGGTCAGAAGTGTTTACTGAGTTGCCAATAAGAACCTCTTTTGTAGTTATTTTCTGGATTACATTCTATCCTGTTTTTCTGGTACAGTCTATATCATAAAGCCAATTACATCAGATCTGTTAGGAGAATCTGTTTAATAGTTTTTGCTTCCAATAATTTTGATTACACCAATCAGTTGGCATATACTCAGTGCACTTTTTAGCCATCCAAACTTTAAGATAAACTACACACATTAAAACCACATCAGTCTGGGAAAAAAAAGACGTAGTTGTTAACCCCAAACCTGCTGGAAATTGTTGATTACTGATATTTTCACTCACAGCTTCTCCTTGTGTACAGATTATCTTTACATATTTATTATAATAAGTAAAAGCGGAAGTTCATTATCACATTCTGACACAACTGATGGGGAGCTGCCCTGTGTTATAGTGAGTATGGTAATCGATTTGTTTTATTTGGACTGAGCTGATCCTGTAATAAATGTTTGCATCATGTCCAGTTAAAAAAATTACCAATAAAAAGAAGTAAGACAAAACCACCTTTTACTGCTGGTATGACAAAAATTTGACTCGGATTAAAAACTCCTTGTAAGGCCCTAATCTGGTATGGTGGTTAAAGATGTTTCAGAACTGTTTGATGACCTTTAGTTTATATTTAAGAAAGTTAGTTATTATAAGTTGTTTTCTGATTTATGGTTGTAATTTATAAGCATAGACTTCTAGGCTTAGGTGTGCTTTTCTACTACTTAGTTTGGAGATAAGAACATTTCTCATGAAAAATACAAGTCAGTAACAGGAAAACTCAGACATGATCCACGTGATCTGAAAATGATGGATTAAGAGGCAACTACCTATCTAACATTCACTTATTAGGCTGTTTTTGCTTCTAGCTTCAAATATGATCCAAAATGAATGATAAGCATTTTTAGTATTTAATCCGATGAGATGATAAAGATAATAATATGTTTGCTGTTGCACATTCAAATTTTTTTGGAACTGTTGTTGATTCATGTCTCTGTTTTAGAATAGTCTAAGATTGATAGAAGAGGAGAGAGAAAGAAGACTGAATGAAAGTGGAGGAAAACTAGAAGACTAGTTGAAGAGAAGGGAAAAAATCTATATAGAAGCAGAAAGCAGACAGAAGTCAGACGAGCGCCAGAAAGAAAAGAATGTAGAGAGGGAAGAAGCCAGAGAAGACTGAATGGACCAGATGTTTGTATTTACTTTTTTGATTTTTTTATTCCTCATGTAACTCTCCTCTTAGGTGGAAATACTGCCAGTTTTAAGTTCTTTTTCCTTTGATACCTCTTTATCCACGTAACTCTGATTATTCAGAAACCACTTTAAAACATAGCGCCTTCTGCTGCACCTCTCTACAGAGGTGCCTATGCCTATGTTTGGTTTTACTAAAGATGATGACCTAAAATATAGCATAAACCAAGCTAATCAACAAAAGTAAGAGAATACCATTGGCTGAGGTTGGCATGAGTAAATAGACTCAGATAAAATTAAACAGAATGATCGAAAGCTCCTTGTAAGCAGTAGTGTGGTGGTCCCTGGAGAAGTGGGTATAGTTGCACTCTTTATTTTTTTTTAATGCCGCCCAGAAACAATGACATGTAAGACTGCTCTATGTAGTTTACCAAAACATTCCTTTGTAATATTTTGTTATTATCATCTAATTGCTGCTATTTGATCTCAGGGAGGAAGAAATATGAAATAAAAAAAAACGCTGACCCACAGACTAGTGAGAGATGTGAGTGAACTATTCCTTAATCCGGAGTCCATCCACAGGGATGACACCTATTCTCTCACTAAGTAGGTCAGTACTTCCTTTTGTAAACCGTCTCTTTGAACAGCTGATTCATAACAGTTTGGCCACAATTAAAATCAACGTTACTAAATCAGGACCAGTTTGCTGGTATTACTGGTCACTCAGGCAGCCTCCATGAATATGAAATACAGATAAGGCTAACAATAACATGCTGTTTCAGTTATTTTCTAAACATTTATTTAAAAAATACATTTTAGATGTGAATTTGACATCTTTGTTTATATTTCAGCTTAGATTTAAAACTCTATTTTAGTGTAGATCATTAGACATATATACATATGATGAGTAGAATTCATCATTCAAATTATTCAATAAAACAGTATCTCGCATAACAATATTTAACATAAAAATGCGTTTACAACACATCAAAATTGACATATTCTCCTAACCAAGTACTGCCGAGCCCTGAAATGTTATTAACATAATTTACGGGGTTCAACAATAAAAATGGCAAACACCCACCTAGTGTAGTTGATGTGATCATCCAAAGTTGTACCGACATATTTGGCTAAGGGCGAAGAGGCACCTTCCTCTTCACTGACAGCTTCTTGTCCGACGGGGATGGGGGGCAAAGCGGTCATCGACATTAGGCTGTACGGGATAGCATTGATAACATTAGCTCAGCTGCTGGCTAATGTTAATTCACAAGGATGTTTGTACTTAGGAAATAGAAGTGTTGTTTCACTAGCTTACTTCATATCACAGATTCTTTGCTAATCCTAAAGGAGTACCATTTAAAGTAAGCCTTTAGATATTATTAAATATGTGAGTCATACTAACCTCAGCAAAAACCGCCCTTCTCTGCTTCTCTGCTTGACTCACGGCTCATCATGCCTACAGTTAACCAACGTAATCGCTAAAGGCAGCGAGAACTAGCCAATTAGAAGAAGCTTAGGACAGGTGATGGCTTCACTGTCCTTTAAATAGAGTTATACGTTTTTGTCATGGTTTGGTGCTAAAGGCTTGCTTTTCCATCTACCCCCGCTCTAATTGGCTTCACCGGCTGATTACCGCCAATCTGATTCACCTGGTCCCTGCAGCTATTTATGCCGTTTGATTTCCTGCCATCAGTTCCAGATTAATCGACCTGTTGTGAGAGTAACTCTAGCGATCAAGTGAGTTTTTCTGTGATTCTGATTCTGACCTGTTTTCTGATTCGAGTTTTTGCCTTGCCCCTGTCTGCTCTGTCGGTTTTTGGCTTTTTACTGTTTTTCCTGGTTTCTGTAGAATGTTTCACTGACCTTTGCTTAGTTTCCCCTCACGGACACTGTTGCTCCTTCAGCTTTGGCTGGCATCAGCTTATCTTCACTCAGGGTTCTGGAAGCAGCCACAGCTGCAAACGATGAACTGAACTTTAAATCAGGTCAGTGACTTTTGCTCCAAATCGTAATCAGCCTGACATCCCTGTCTCTGACCTGTGTTTCCTACGGTATCTCGGCAGAGTATCTGCCCCGCTGAAGCCCAGCGTTAACAATCGTCCTTGTCTGTCTGTCTGAATATTGGGTCCTAGTTTCTACCACTCAGTTTGGATATATGAAAGTTTGTCATGAAAAAAACAAAGAGACAATAAAATAGTTATGCTCTCTCTGCTTTTCCTCAGAGTAGCTTTGCCTCGTCTGTTCCTGTTTGGCTGTGACACCACCCTGTAGAGAAATATCAGCTGTGCTGCTGCCATCAACACCTTTGTTTCTAGATCTTGGAGCTTGGCCTGTTTTTCAGTGTAGTCCTGTTTCTCTGACCGTGACTGGCTGGATGTGCTCTCTTCATCCTCTGACATGGGAGCTGGCTCGGAGCTCGTCTGCCTGGCTGTGTGTTTCCTGGATGGGACCGCCTTTTACAGCTGCTTTTTGTATCTCTGCTTCTGTCTCCTTGAACCCCAGTCGGCCTCGGCAGATGGCCGCTCACACTGAGCCTGGTTCCGCTGGAGGTTTCTTCCTGTTAAAAAGGAGTTTTTCCTCTCCACTGTCGCTACAAGCATGCTTAGTGTGAGGGATTGTATTTGAGTCAATGAGTCAATGAACTGGTTTTCCTTAGATAGAAAACTTTGAATCAATTTGACTGGATGATCTGGTTGAACTCTAAAGAGCCTTGAGATGACATGTGTTATGAATCGGCGCTATATAAATAAACTGAATTAATTAAAAGGAAAACTGAATGAGACAAGATCTACATAATCTGAGAATGATGGAGGAAGAGATAACCACCTGTTTAATGTTCATTTATTATGTTGTTTTATTTGTAGCTCCAAATATTGTAGTGATTAGTCTTGTTAGTATTAAATCAGATGAGATAATAATAACAATAATGATATAATATGTATGATGACATTATACCGGTGTTACAACAAAATCTGTGACCCATCATATACTGTGACAAAAGCTTCTGCTGTAACGGGGTCTCCTCACAAGTCTGTATTGGCATTAAAACATTTTCTCTGTTTCCGTTAAATATTTCAATGTTGAATTTAAATCTATGTTGACCCTTGAGCAGTGGTAACTAAGGGGCAAATTCTTAGAAATAAACCCAAAATTGTCAAAGTAGAAAGAAGAATGTTTGCTTTTTATGGAGCAATGAAGATTTTATTGATCTGTGTGTAATGCATAATTCATAGTAGATTAGGAAATGTTTGCTTTACGATGGAAACCTTTTATGTTTAAAACCATTGCTTTATTGTACATTTTGTTTGCTTGTCTGTCTGCTATTTTAACCAATATGATTTGTTGAACTAGATCTGCTATTTTCACAGATTTTGTGAGAAGCTTTTGTATAAAGTAAGGCATTAATTCCTAAAAAGGTTTGATTGAATTCTGTAAATCAAAGTTTTCTGCCCAACAGCAATGATGAACCGCATGGCAGCATTTTATACCCATCTATTGTAGAATCTAGGAAAGAGCTGCAGGCTGGTAGTTTTTGCAACATAAAACCAACTAAAACTAGACTAAATCCTTGTTAAGTTTCAGCTGATTTAAACCGACTAAAACTATCACATATCGTAATGACTAAGATGGGACTAAAACTAACGTAAATATACATGTCATACCATGTCTTCCTGTCCTCCCTTAGTCCAAAAGCATATCTGCTAGGTTAACTGAGTTGTTTAAAGTTGTGTTTGTTTGTGTAGGGGTGTGTGTATGTGCATTGTTGCATGTCTTCTCTATGTTGCCCAATGAGAGACTGGGGACCTGTCCAGGGTGTACCCTGCATTCCTTCCATATGCTGCACTGGCCCGGAATAAACGGAAAAAGATGGACGGATGGATTAATATACTGTTCTTGTTTGCTGTAACAGTATAAATGAGAAGTATCATAGTCTTACTATAGTTTACTCGAAAATATGCCTTTAGTTCTTCACAAAACTTCTTTTAAATTCTTTTCCTCTAAAATGAGGAAATTTCCTTCTTTACTACTTTATTTATTACTAAATATTTTAATAATTGGTTAGTTTTGACTTGGGTAAAACTTTGCAGCTGAAAAAGTCAAAAAGCAAAGATTCTAGAAGAATGTATACTGTCAATGGCCCTATAGACTGTCTTTCCAAAACTAATGCAATATACAAGTTGTAGTAAATAAAACATTTCCTTCCCATCACAATTAAAGGGATAGACATAACAACTGTAACATACATTCACATAAACAATGATTTTTGATATAATTGGTTCCATGTATGTTTTATTGCTTTCTTTCATCAAACATGAACACTTGATTTAAACAGCCGAAGACCAAATCCTACATTATCATAGCTTGGTTGCAGGTATGGACACTGAAAGAGCTAGCTACTGCACTGCGGATACAATGATAACAACGAATAACCAGAAAACTGACACTATCACATGTAAAGACTATTATAGTTGATGCTAAGAGGTTAAGTTTTCACAGGAAACTTGGCGAATGAATTGTTGAGTTAGCAGAAGAGATTCACATGAGCTTTGTCCAGGTGAAGGTTTGCACTGCCTCACTCACGAACGTAAATCCTTGTGCACACCACGTCATCTGCACCAAATGTCTGCAAGGAAAAAACACACAAATAAACAGGATTTTGCTTTGTTCATGTCCTCAAAAGTGTAAATCGACACCAACAATAAGCTGAAGTAAGTGTCTGTCTCACGGCCAGCTTCCAGGTTTGATTAATACTTTGTAATAAATACATGAATAAAGCACAAACATACTCAGTTTTGCTCCCGCTGTATTTTTAAATACGCAGTAGAGGCATTTAAACGTAGTAGAGGACATGCACCTGTATATAAACCCCGCACCCTATAATCCGGTGCGCCTTATGTGTGTGTTAAATACAGTAATGGCACACATAACTGAGACTGTGCCTTTTAGTACGGTGTGCCTTATGGTCATGAAAATACGGTAATTGTTTTTGCATCATGGGCAGCTCACACATAATGCATAACTGTCTGCAAAGCAGCCTACAAAGCAGATGATGCAACTTTAAAATCTCTTCAAGTGAAACTTTAACTAGTGCACATATATATGCATGCACCTTTTTTTCTTGGCACCTTCACCTTCTTTTTGACTATCTGAGCCGATGTAATAATACATTTTCTGTTAAGTCAGTAAATCAATCGATCAATTATCAGGGCAGTCTCAGTACAGTGGATGGTGTGGGAACTTTACTAGATGACATCAAAGCATATCAATTAACAAAATTTTGTTTTATATCTGAAATAAAACTTTGTCTTATTTAAAGTCAGTCTGCTCCTGGTCTTTGTAAAATTCTGTATTATTTCAGGTCGATGCAGCTCAACAGAAATCCCACCCCACTTTACTGCTAAAATGCTACCAGACTAAACCAATTACACACATTATGCAGATCTTATGGAAATGTGTCCCACTTACAGCATGAACTGCCACACACAATGAAACCACTGCATTGTTATAGCAGCTCCAAATGCAGGGCTCAGGCTGAGCCTCTTCAACTGTAAGGCTTTCTCTGCATCTGTAACCTGCCTTGGTTCTGATTCTCATTCAAACACCGTTTGCTTGGCTTCCCTAGTTCCACTTCACACAGAGAATGCTACAAACAGTTATAAATAATCTACAAACATGAGTCTGTGATATTTTTGGTTTTCCAGAGAAGATGAAACACATTCCAAATTTTTAAAAATCATCAAAACCCAATGAAACCATTTAACATAATCCAACAGAAGGGTTGGAACAAGGGCGTAGGTTTGATTTCAACTTTGGTAAGGACACTATGCTTCAGTTTCATTGGTCCTTTGCAAAAATATGCATGCTCTTTTTTATGCTTAATGTCAGCTTCAGGGCTCATTTTATTTAAAGAGAACATCAGCATTTCTTGCTACATTAATACAAATCTTATAAGCACTACATGCACTAGATGCTGTTTATCAATATTTAAAGCATCACT